CCATAGAATTCACCAGCATTAAAGTATACAATTAAACGACTTGGCAAGTGTATCTAAACCTAAGCAACAGTCACCATTGGCTAATTCTGAAACACCCAAAAAGAAATACTTTACTGGGCCTTGCTGCTCAAGTTTTCACTTTGCACATACCACCTGGGTCCCATATAGGCACCGGTTCTAACCCTGGCAGCTTCAGTTCCCATCCAGATCCCTGCTTGTGGTCTGGGAAAGCAGTCAAGAATGGCGCAAAGCCTTGAAACCCTGTACCCTTGTGGGAGACCCGGAAGAGGCTCCTGGATCCTGGCTTCCACTCGGCTCAGCTCTGGCCATTGTCACTTGCGGGGTGAATTATTGGACAGATCTTCCTCTCTGTCTTTCCTCCTCTATATATCTGACTTTGCAATAAAAATAAATATTTTTTTAAATGGCTTGGTACTATCTTGGAACAGATAGCAATCATGGAGGTACAAAGAGTTTGTTTACCGTACAACCTCAAACTTACAACAGATGAAATGATGCATTTTGGCTTCCCACTACATAACGCACAAAGCACAAGGGGCATCTGCTAAAGGGAGACAAATGTGAGCCCCGAGAGGAAAATGGTTTAAAGGTTCTACCTTATATTGGCACTTATATTGAGAGAAAGAAATTTTGAAAAGATAAAAAGGTTTTTTGTAAAGGCCCTCCATTCGTAGAGAAGCTGAGTTGCCCTGATCGTTTTCACTGCCCTTTAACAAAAGAACAAAAAACAATCGAATCAGTACTAGGTGATGGTGATTAGTGCATGATTGATTAAAAGGTTTAATAAAAAAATTCTGATATGTCTTTATAAATTCCTTTCATTTCTAAGTTTTCTTTTAAGTTTTGTATTCTTCATGTTTTCAGTAATATTAGTGAAAATTAATTTTAGATATAAATAAACCACCTGTCACTACATAACCGCATGTGCTGCCAGCTGTGGAGTTCGTGGCTTCAGCAGTTTGAATGAGCAATGGCTTGGTGAGAATGTTTTCTTTGAAGCAAAATAATGTTTTTTAGAATTGTTTTTGTATTCTTTTAACCATGAAGTAAAAATGAAACAGTTGGATGTTGTGCAAAAGCTTGTGATGATTTGTGTATAAATAAAGAAGGCAGCTTTTCTGAGTTGGCCATTATGAGCATCGGCCATAGTAGTGCACGTCTCTTCTTGTCTCTTTTCCCATTGATTCATGCACCCTTCCTGAGCTCCCAACTCGGCTGGAGCTCGTCTCCAGCGTTTTCCTGTTGTGGAAATTCCCTATTAATGGAACCACATATTATATGACCTTTCGGGTCAGTTTTATTCATTTAACATAACGTATTTAGTCTCTATGTGTATGCATATAAGAACTTTGCTTTCATGATCAAAAAATATGCCATTTTATAAATATGTCACATTTATTTAGCAATTCCCAACTGATGCATATATATAAGTTGTTTGTATTTTTATCTGTTACAAATAATGCTGTGATGAATATTTGTGTTCATATGTATGGGTGTTTGTTTCATTTCTCAGGTACATGCTTTAAGGTAAAATACTGGACCCTGTGGCGTCTCAGCAGATTTGTGGGTCAGCTGCCAGGCTAAACTGTTTAGCAGAGTAAAGGCACCGATTCCCACCAGTAGTGTTGAAAGTGTTCCAGAGTGTCCACAGCCTTGCTAACATTTCTTCATGTCTTTGCTATAAACACCCTAGTCCAGTTGAAGTGACATCTCATTGCTGTGATTTGCTTTTTCCTGATGATGTCAAGATGGTCCCATATGCCTAATGGCTTTTTGTCTTTGAAGAAATATATATTCAGGTATTTTATCCATTTTAATGGTGTTGTTATCTTAGAATTGAAATGGTTTCCTGTCCCTCTGTGCTCTTTACAGTTGTTTGTTATTTTCTGATAGGCTAATCTTCCTGAAATACAGGAAAAACTGCTGAAAAGTATTTTCATCCTTCTCTATACAAAATTAAAACCCTGAATTTTTTGTGCTTCCATTATAGGTTTTCCTTAATTCAAGGTCACCCACAAAGAATGCCCAGATGGAGTTATTGGGACCTGACTTTAGCTTGGCTCAACCATGGCTAATGCAGACATTTGGAAAGTACACCACTGGCTAGAAATATCTCTCCCACTGTGTGTTTGTATGGCTTCCTGTAACTCTGCCTTTCAAAATGTCATTTTTCACTTTCTGAATAATTGGCCACATTCTGGGGAAAATCAGTGTGCATGCTCCTTAGAAGAAGCTTAGGGTCTTTCAGGATCCAAACCTCCCCTACAGTTGTTAGGCATAAAGTCAGAGCTGCACCATTACCAAGATGGAGAATGTCTGGCTCCTCCTGTTGTGCTGTTACTCAGCCAGAGAGAGATTTCTTGAGACGCTATCAGCAAGAAATAAAATAGGACTCAGATTATCACTTTATTCCAAGCTACATGACTACTTGGCATTCTTCTGATGGACTCTTGTCACAAAGACTACCTGGTCTAATAACTGTTGTCCCTGGAAACACTGTCTATGATTGTGGGCCTGCTTAATACTCAACAGGAGAGCAGCTGGATGCTGGGACCAAGGGAAGTAGAGCCAAGAGAGTGTGCGATTTGGGTTATAAAGCTGCAAGGAAACACTCCTGCCCCTCTTAGATTACTTCATTGATCAAGGCAACAATACAGATGCTTTCTTTTGAGTTGCTCCTTGTTTAGTAATAAAGCCCTTTGTCTCTGATCCATACTTCTCAAGTTTTCTGCCAGCATTCATGAAATGCAGAATAATTTGTAAAAACTTGGCAATTAAGCTAAGATCTCCAACCCTTCAAAGTTCTTGACATCAACTAAGAATCGGAGGTGTGATATGGGAAGGCTAAAGAGAGAAAAGAAAGGGACCAAATAATTGTCTTGCAGAGCAGAAAAATCAACAAATTAAGCAACGGTTAGCCCCATTTGAAGTTTTGTGGTCGAGCCTGAAATGAAATGGGTCAGCTCCATTGCACGTTTCCCTCAAAGAGCATCTGGTTGCTTCCAGTGATGGTGTAGAAAGGGCAGCTGCTCATCTGAGTGCCTGGCCTACCTCGGTGACTGCCACTGCACATGGACACTTAGCAAATTACTGCTGTGTTAAAGAAAGGGAAGGGACATCCAGCTGGCAAGCTGTTTATTAGTTGCAACAAATCTCATTGTTGGCATGCCTCTACCTTTAGCATTTTAGTGCCTGTTGGTTGGTTGCCTAATGTTTGCCCTTAAATGTCCTTGTCTGAAGGCTCCCTCTGGGCCTGGGAGACCAAAGTTCTCCCACTGTGCAGTGACAAAGAAGGAAATAGCATCCTACCTAGATGTAATGACGGCCGGGAGTTGGACCTCACCTCCCGTGTGTGTGTGTGTGTGTGTGTACTTTCTTCCCTTTTCTTTAGGATGGGATGACTGAAGTATGCGTCCTTCTCTGGCTCCCAATATCCTCTATAGAATATGCCCAGTTGCCCATAGGAATAATTGCTTTGATAGCATACACTTCACTTGGGGCCTGTTCTTTCATTTTTTGCTTAATTCTTTTGCTTCTCACAGTGGTATCTCTTTGCTCTTCTTCATCCCCCAAATAAATTAATTACCATAAAGTTGTGTATTTAGCCCACTTCTGAGAGGCCCCAAATTTTGGCTGTTGGTCCAGTGCACATTGTTAAAAAGATCCAGAAGTATGAGATTCATCCAAAGAAGCTCATTGCATGGTGTCTTTAAAAAGGTGAAAATGATATTAACACTTGGTTTGTCACCATGATTTTAATTTCTGATAGTGTTGCCAGCTTCAGTGTATTTTCATGGCATTTAGAAGTCAGCACATATTGAACTCAGAATCTCCACTTGCCTGTGTATCTGGGGAGCAGGCAGAAGCTCGGTATTACATCCTTCAACAAAACGTGGTGAGAACAAGTGAATATATGTTCTCTTTGAGACCCTGGGCTTCTGGCTGCACAGTGCCCCTTGCCTGGCTCACAGTAGCCCGCATCAGTGAGTGGATGGACTCTCAGGTTTCTACAATCATTATGAAAGTGTGTATCAGAGTGAGCATTTGTATCCCCCAGCCTTCCAGTTGCTACAGTCAAGCCAATTTTTTTTTAATGAAGTCTAGGACACAGTGACTCTTCATAGTGCTTGTTGTAGCACAGTCATTCATGTAGAGAAAAGTGTGGCAAGGCAGTCAGCTGTCAGGAATCACCGGTGGGTGATAAGTGAATTGTCAGTGTTCTCAGAAGCTGATGAAATACACTCCCTTCTTTTTGTTGTTGTTGTTTTGGGTTTTATTTTTTGTCTAGCAAATAGTTTTCTGAGATGAAGGAATGAGGAATTTTTTAAAATTTTCATTGTCTCTGTCTTGGCTTCACAAACTGTTGATGCTCTAGCATCTAGTAAACATTTCTTAAAAGTAACACTGACAAGGCCCAGCATGGTAGCCTAGTGGCTAAAGTCCTCACCTTGCCTGCACTAGGATCCCATGTAGGTACTGGTTTTAATTCCGGCAGCCCCTCTTCCCATCCAGCTCCCTGCATGTGGCCCAGGAAAACAGTCAAGGATAGTCCAAAGCCTTGGGACCCTGCGCCCATGTGGGAGACACAGAAGTTCCTGGCTGCTGGCTTCAGACTGGCTCAGCTCTAGCCATTGCGGCCGCTTGGGGAGTGAATCATCAGACGGAGGATCTTCCTCTCTGTCTCTCCTCCTCTTTGTATAATTAAGTTTCTGATTTAAAAAACACATCTTTAAAAAAGTAACACAGACATGTTGATGGGAGCATTTATTGTGCACAACAGTGGGTATATAGTTGCCTATGCACATGTGAGTTAACAAGCATCACAACTGCATGTGGGCAAGGTTCTCACTCCCTCGGTTGCCTGTGAGCCTCTGAGGCTCCAACAGACAGACAGGCTGAGGGTCAACACGAGAAAGGCAGAGAAGGGGCCAAGCTGCAGGGAGTGCTTGTCGTGCTCTGGGAATCTAGCTTTCAAGGAGTCATGGAGTCACCAGAGGACCAAGGGACTTCCTCAGGAATCTTCTGGCTCTTCTTGGGCCCTCCTTATGGGATGTGGCCTCCTCGCTGTTCTCTTCAGAGCTGGAGCCCAGGGATGAGGCTGCAGGCCCTCCTTGCATGCTATCACAGGACACCGGCATGCCCTGGCATTCTTGCCTGTCTGTCGATTTGAGGCTTTGGTTAAAGGAGGCAGAGGCCATGCACTCAGCAGCCACCTGGTCACAGGCGCACAGCAGCTTCTGGCACAGACTGTGTCCAGCACCTTAGGGGGCAAAGGCAGAGAAGTAGCAGACATGAAACGATGTAGGAAGGCACATGAGGGCCACAGCAGCCACCTGACCACCCCTCCAGCCATCCCCCCTTCACAGCATCTTCCTGGCTCGTGGCATCTGTCATGCTCTTTGCTGGTAGGAGTCCATCTTGCTTTCCAGCTGAGCAGCTCCCTCTGAAACTCCTGTCCTCAGCTCTCTCCTCTAGTGAACTCCCTGACTTGTCTGACAAAACTAGCTTGTCTCTTCTTCCCGGAAGCTTTCCTGAGCCTCTCTGCTTATATAAGATGCCTCTTCCATGAGCTTCCTTCCAGCCCCATACTAGGCTGTGGTCACACATGCTGCATGCTGCTTACTCAGCTTGCCCCTTGGCTCTGGGGTTACTTAGAAACCTTCGATGGTGTCCCAGCACCTCACCCATCCTCGGGAAATATTCCTCATGTTAATGTTCAGCAAATATTGTTTGTTCTAAACTGTTAATTTGCACTTTTCTGAGCCTGCATACTCAACTGTCAAATGGAAATTCTATCCTGTTTTAATATTACATGATAAAACACAAGAGGAGCAGTTAAACCTGAATTGGCTGAGGATACTTCAGAAAGTTCTTGCAAATGGAGAGGAAGGTTTATTTCAGTGCATGAAAATTGAAATCCATGCATATGTGAAGTCTTCAAAAAGCTCATAAAGAAGTGTATAATTAAAAGTATGCATGCTTTGAAAAAAATTTTTGCATGCAACTAAAATGTTTTAAGGTCATTTTTCTAAGACCCTTCATATGCCTGAAAATATATCTTCTTTGGATATACTTACAAAAGTTTTATATATAGATATATATGTATATATATACACATACATATTTATACACACAATATATATATAAATTATATAGTTTATCCAAAATGTAAACTCAGTTGAGTTTCATATATTTTTATATTAGCTACATCTGGCAAACCTACTTTATTTCTTTAATGCATAAGTTGTGCATAGTTGGAGTGATGTGACTCAGTGAAAACAATGTATTACAAAGTATTACAAAGTGGTAGATACAGATCAGCTTTTTGTAAATACTGTTTTAGATGGATGTGGTTTGCAATGATGCAAAGCCTTTTTAAAAATCTATTCCCACCATGAAGGGCCCCCTCAGTGATATTTTTTTTGTTTGTTAACCACACAGAGCCTCCATGCCTCCTGATTTCCACATCATCAGATATGGAGGTTGCATTTTAGTTTCAGGAAGTGGGCGAAGCAGTGGGGTACAGCCAGAGAGGTCAGGCAGTATGAAGACATGGATAGGTCCTGATCCCTGGAGCAACTTTGTCCTACCCCGCTCTCAGGGTCAATAAAGCCCAGGCCAGAATGCCCTCGATCCTCAGTAGCCACCCAAAGGCCCCTGAGAAGGACACTGCTCATGGCTCCCCGAAGGTGGGCTCTAGTGCCCCCAGGAAAGCAGTCTCCCTAAGAGCTCCTGGGGAGGAAATGGAGGGAGGAGACTCCATTTCCTCCAGGCGAGACCTCCTGGCCTGATGTGGCATCAGTGCCTCCTGACATCATGTGACAACACTGTCAGGCTATGTCACTTACATGCTCTGGACCACTCACTGTGAGTTTATGCTCTCCCATGGTACAAGCTCTGGACAGGTCAGTCTTTATGCACAGGTGCTTTGGATTAATGCTTTGGTCCCTGTCTCTTCCCAGCTTTCACTTCGGACCACTAGTATCCCCCACGCAGTAGTTAAGAACCATGTTTTTGTTTGGTTTAGTTTTTTTTTTTTCTTTTTTTTTTTTTGTCTGAGATACCTGGCATTTCCAAAACACCATGGTCTTCCTCTTTTCCCTTGGGACAGCCACACCCAACCGGGCCATCCAGAAACTGTTCACCTTTTGTCAAATTGCACCTCTTCTGACTTCTCCCAATACCTTTCTGTCATACTGCAGACTCCCTGGCACCTAGACTGCCTGTTCTGTCTTGGCACATGACATTAGCATGATCTCTCTGCTGGCTGTCTTTCCTCCCAGTTGTGAGTGATTTGACACAAGGATGGTGGACATCCATTGTCCTCCTGGATGCTGATGAAAGTTTGTTGGTTAAATGCATAGCTTAATGGATGAGTGAGTGAGTGCCATGTGAGCAGACCATTCCTAGGCAAGAGCCAGGCATCCCTCAAGCAAGGCAAGTAGCTCTAAAACAAAAAAAGGGGTGGGGGGGGGAGGAACCCGATGAGGTTCCTGTAAACTTCTGGGGCTTCAATTTCCTTTCAGCTGTAGGCAGAACAGGGAGGACTCTGCTGGCATGGATGAAGGCATAGAGTCAGAGTTTGACAGGGCCAGCCCTAAAGCATGCCTGGATTTGCTGTCAGATCGGCTGCCCACTTGAGTGGGACACTTGCCTGGCATAAGAGGGTAGAGGGAGCAGTTTGCAGACCAGCCTTTGCCTGAGATCTTGATTGACACCCTGGCTCTGCCACTAGGAATACAGCTGGGCACCCAGCTCGCCTTTCAGTCAGAACCATTCCCGGGTTCTCTGGGAATTCACAGACAATCTCAATGGGGAAAAGGGTTCTACTTCTTAGGAAAAGAAGAACATATTAAAAACCCACTGGGACAGTTACAGGTCAATTCTGGGTCTCCGACAACAAGAGTTTATAGTCCAGCTGCCCATTCTACCACTTAAACATCTGCCTGTGTGATTTTGGGCCTCAGGTAGTTCCCCTATAGAGGAGGAAGAGCAACAGTGCTACCTCATGGAATTATTGTGATGTTGAGCCATGCCATGGGTCTGTAGGTCTGAGAAGCATGGAATGCATGCTCAGTAAAGGTGGGCTGTTGACAGTGTTCCCAACCTGTTCTAAGTGATGTTGTAACCTTTGGCAACACAGTCTCCTGAAACTGCAGCATCACAATAGATATAATAGCCTGTACCTCAATGCTCCAAGAGCATGATGTCATGTGCACAGGAAGAGCCTGGAAAAGCACCTGCATGCATCAGCTGATGAATACTTGGCTGGAGGAAGCACAAACTGCCCAAAGAGGTGAACAGCACTTACACTTGGGGATGTGATCCATGCACATCACCACTGACTGGGAGAGCCTCTCCGGCAGGCAGCCCAGCCTCCTCATCTGCTCCAGGCAGCAGTGATGGGATAAACAGCACCTAAGGTGGAGAAGACGCTTTACTGCCCAGAGTTCCAGCTGCTCTAGGATGTCCCTTCCATCCCATAACCCATCAAGACCTGCCCCCAACTTCCTGTAGTCTCAAGAGAAGACAGTGCCTTCTTATCAGTGCATGCAAGACTGACTCAGGCACACCTAGCGAGGTCTTGCATGCTTGCTCAGGTTCTGTAAGGCACAAAGCACTATACATAGGGCCGCATCTTGTAATCTGTGATTGACTATTTAAACTGTTCCTTGTATTTTTGTGATGACTAATGATGACAAAGATGTGCAATGTACATTAGCATTCACCGAATGCACATGACTAATGATGACAAAGATGTGCAAATTTAGTATATTAACAGAGAGAAACGAATCATCTTGAGGAAGGGGTACCATTTTCCAGTTTACACAGAGGTTCTATATGAGTTGGCACTGACCTCCTTTTCTCCGTTTTACAGAGTTTAACAGTAAATCTCCACCAAATGGTATATCTCTGTCCTAGCCTTTAAAGAGTGGAGAGTCACTCTCCTGAGTATTAAGGAAGAGCTATGTCTAGTCAAGTGTCCAGCAACTGGCAGAACCTCAGTGCAGAGAAGGGAACAAATCAGCATCCTGCCTTTGAGGGCCACTTTTCGAGGCCCAATCTAGTCTCACAGCCTCAGCATCAGCCCTGGCCACATGGATGTTCTTAGACCATAGCAAACAGGCAGCTGCAAGTGCCCCCTAAATCCACGCTTCCCTGCCCTCTCATACTGCCTGTTCCACACACAGCACAGGTGGAACTGAGTCCCCAACTCTTGCAGCTTCTCCCTCCAGACCTTGCTGCCTGCAGTTGGAGGAGCCACCTGGTGATGGCTGGGTGAGCTCAGTGTCTGCCTTGTTTGGCAGTTACTGCAGAAGAGCTGGCGATCTCGTGTGTACATTCGGCATGGTTGGGTGAGAGTGACAGTTGATACTATCCAGAGTCAGTGATTCAGATATCATATATATATTTGTAGCACTCGTAATAATCATGTAGTAACCTATAATGTACAGTAGACATGAAGTTTAAAGTATGTCTGTGGAGAAAATTACATCAGCTTTCCTAATCCTTTCTGGTTGACAGTTTCCTATTTGATTTTTAGATTTTCAGTTTCTTCCTAAGGGCATGAAAGAAACCATTTCCTGCCTGAGTTGCCAAGCTGTTCATGTTTTATTTTGTTGTTGAAATTGGCTAATCATCAGGAACCGCCATTGTATCATCTCCTCCTTCTCCTGGCACTCAGTAGTGCCCAGCGGCTGCTGCTGGCTGAATTCCTATCTTTGGAGCTGTATCACCGAATGCTATGACACAGGAGTCTTGACACTGAATACCTCTTTGTCTTGAAGAACAGACACCATATTGGCTGAACTACATAGTATAAATACACCTAGATTCTACAGGGTGGTTTAATGCTTGATATTATTAACATTCTTTGGCGGCAGGTTGCTTTTGAAGGTTGCCCGTGCAGCACAGCCCCAATGCCTCTCACTGAAAGCCTGGGGAGCAGGAATTCAGGGGCCAGGGTGCTGTGGTGGAGTTGGAGGCAGAGAAACACAGCCTCCAGAAGCATCTGCCTCAGCTGCTCGGCTCTGCGCTCCTGCCATGACTGTGTCTCTCATATTAGATGTCAGCTTCATCTATAGTTTTGGTTTGACTTTCACAACGTCACCATCTAAGAACATACTCTTATATACATGTGTAAATACACATATAGGCATATATGTAGGTATATATACATATGTGCATTTACATGTATGTATTCATATATATATTCACATACACACATGCCTTCGAATGTAGATCCCTCAACTGGCAATGGACTGCAACATCCTCCACATGAGATCAGTCCTTATACTTGATCAAGTCCACCACTTTTACAATGTTTCTCAAACTCAGATTGAGGCCTCCCCAGCTTCCTATTTGCCCAGCATAACTGATTACATGGGGTGACATTTTTGTTGTCCATTTATTCCATTATAGGAGACCCTGTTGCATACAAGCACCTTGGTTCTTTTAGGTTTGTTTAGTTTTAATAACATTTATATCTAGCAAAGTGCCTGGAAAGAGCAAACAATGAAGAAACATGGGTCTTTATATCTAAGTGAATAAATATATTAATGAATGTGTGAGAACAAGTGAAAATTTTTCTGGGTGGCAGATTAAAAAATAGCAATTGAAAGTTGTGGAGGGGCTAATTTCATTGTGGCCTCCTGTAGGACATACCAAGTAGATACTCTACTTTTTAAGTTGATCTTTACAAAACAGGCCCTGCACCTGGAGTGCCTTTGCAGATCTGTGGGGCACTGCTTGTGATCATGCCAAAGGGGCTCTAGACTCCCACATGCAAACGTAAGCACCTGTCTGTCTCTGCCTCTTCCAGCTTTTGGTGAAACTGAAGTGACATCCAATGTAGAGGAGGATTCTTATTCTCAGACACAGGAAATGTCAGCTCTATTCATCAATGCCTCCTTGCCTGCCCCTCCCGACCCCAGGCCATACCTGTCCAGAGCATCCCTGGGCTCGCCTCTTCCTTCTTGTCCACAGTAACAGCCATAAGACTCAAATTCCTCTGGGCACCGGGACGTCAGGCAAAAAAGCATCTCTCCAAGCTGTGGCATTGCCAATGTGTTCTGCCCACTTCCCAGATGCAGGAAGGTGAGTCTGTCACAGGCTGAAGGACAACAGGGACTCTCATGAGGGCAAAACTATGTCCATCAGATGAAGGCAGTGTCCCAGGTTGTAGGAGGCCAACTCTGGGACCTGCCAGAAATCCCTATGTCTTACTCCTTGGGTCAACATTTTTATGGGAAAACTAGGTTGGATTCATTCCACTGTCTGAAATGCAATGACTTTCAGAGAGCAAGTCTTTCTCTTCCTTTGCAGACTCCTTACCAGACCTCCCTTAAGGGGATAAGAACTGAAGATACTCTTCAGGTCATGTTATTTACTGGTCATTGCCCAAGATGTTGGGGACAGGAAGAGGGAGTCCTATCCTCCTAGGCTTCACACATGTGGCTGACATTGACACTCAGAGATCTTGGTTTCCCATCTCTGTCTGTCCACGTCTCCCCTCTTCCTACTCTTCCCTCTGCTTATAATGCTCAGATGCTGAATACTACATGTTGGACATGATGGAGGGTAAGACCAGATATTCACACAGTCTTCTATTGTATCCCTCTTCCTATCGATGCTTATAGGCACGGGGCCTTAGGTAAGGTTTCAGACCCAGGAGAAATAAGGGAAACGATTATATAAACCCAAGTGCTTCATCGTCTTTAAGTCATCAAGGTGATGACTCTCTTCCCTTTTGGGCTAAGTAAGATCTAGGAGACAACAAGGTCAAGGGATCTTGGCTCTTCTCATAGGTTCAGCCCCACGATAGCTGAGCGACAACACAAGTCATGGCCTCTCTGATCCTTGAGGTGCTCATCCCAGAAGTCACAACAACAGGATAAGGTACCATCAAGTGCTTTGCCAACAACCTAGCCACAGGTTCCCAAGGGCAGAGAAGACAGACACTCCACAAACTGCTTGCCTCTGCTCACCTTTTCCAGTGGTCTCCTCAGGGCTACTTTCAACAGATGACATCACCAACCCCGCAGATCGAGCACCAGCAGAACTGAGAGCTATGTTCTTTACTGTAGCAAAAATCTCTGCAGATTCTGAAAAATGTACAGGTTAATTGCTGAGCTACAGGGTACCTATAAGGAGAGACCTGCTTACAGACAGATGGACACATGGCTGAGGCCATGTGCAGGTGGATACTCAGATACAATGCATGAGCAGAGTGTGCCTCAAACTGGGATTGCAGAAATCAAAGGATATTTTCAGAAATCCATGGGTTTGTTGTACTGACCCTGCCCAAATTTTCTATGACAACATTAACACTGATATGAGCCTATGCTGGACCATCTGGAAGCATGTCATTAATAAAAATGTTCACAACCTTCCAGGTGTGTGGGAGCATCACATTTACTACTATGCCCTGCCAACTGAGGCCCCTCTAAGAGCTCATGGCAAGTGAAGAGGTAAGAAACGATGGTAGCTTGAGCAGGTGTTTAACACAGCAGTTATAACTCCAGCTAAGCTGAATCCTACGTTATAATACCTAGTTTGAGTTCCCAGCTTTGGTTTCTGACTCCAGTTGTCTGTTAGCACACACTCTGGGAGGCAGTGGTGACAACCCACAGAGTTGGGTCCTTGCCTCCCACATGAGAGATTTGGATTGCTCTAGCTCCTGACTCAGGCCCAGTCCCAACTCAGATCATTGCAGCATTTGGGGAGTGTCCAGTCAATGGGAATGCTCGCTCTGTCTATCTTTCTCCTTTTGTCTCTCTCTCTGCCTCTCAAAAGTAAACAAATTTAAAGTGTAGGGGGACATTAAGGCAACTCCTAGTGCACAACAATGTAAGTAAGCAAAGCTCTTCCTTAGATCTGTGTATTTCCTGGCTCACGTGTTGCCCCAGCTTCTTATCATAATCAAAATTAAGCGCAAAGTCTGATCCTCCCTTCTTTATCATGTCATTCCTCACAGTCTTCCCAGCTGTCTCTGAATCGCCTCTGTCCTGGTGCATCACTTCTACCTACCCCCTGGAGATGAGCAGTCTGAGGAAAGGAAAGGAAAGGAGAGGAGAGGAGAGGGGAGGGGAGGGGAGGGGAGGGGAGGGGAGGGGAGGAGAGGAGAGGAGAGGAACAGAACGGGAAGGGAAGGGAAGGGAAGGGAAGGGAAGGGAAGGGAAGGGAAGGGAAGGGAAGGGAAGGGAAGGGAAGGGAAGAAGGGAAGGGAAGGGAAGGGAAGGGAAAGGAAGGGAAGGGAGCAGGGGTAGGCTCAGCCCTACCAATCTGCTGACTTGGCTCAGTATCCAGAGCACTAGGTAGGGCCAGGGCTTCTTGGTGTCATGGAACTTTAGTCTTGCCCCAAACCCACCATACTGGTTTGCTACATGCATCTGATCTTCTTTCTGCTCAATGATTAGGTTCCATTGGTAACAAAGTCCCGTTGGAATCTCATCTCCTAGGTTGGTGTCTAATCTAGTTTTCTCATCCCACGGATAAAAACCAGTTAACTGGGTTGCTTATAACATGCTCTGATCTTCTGGAAACTCATCAAATTAAGATACTTAACTGGAAAGATTTAGAGTTTAAGGGTTTTGAGTGTGATGTTTAGCCCAGCTTCATAGTAGATCTGTAACCTTGGACAAACAAAGGGTGTTTACATTGTGCTAGCTCTGCTTGCAAAAACAGATTCTCAGTACTTTTTTGTGTGTCTGTGAGCAGTCAGTCTAGCCAAATACCCAGCAATGAGAAAACAGTCACAATAATCCATCTTATATGTACATTGAATGTAGAATATCTGTACCTTGAATCCAAGGGTAAAGCATTCTAGATGGAAAGTTCTATAAGCACATGGAGATTTCCAGAAGCGCAATACCTGTTCACTGCTGAGTTAGCCAAAGCCCTTGCTGCTGGAGGAAAACCTTCCTCAATCACTGGTACTAATCCAGTTTCTGATCCCCACTCCCTTTTATCTGAAGGCATCTGCTGTTACTCCCCCATCTGGACCAGCTGCCCCACTGGGGAACAAATTCCTGCTTTTTGCCAGCAGCATTCCCGTGCTGAGGTCATAGTGCTTCCCCAACAACAGTCAGCCCAGACCTTAGCCATGTCATATTTTGCACTGATGGTGCACTTTTGAAAATTCAGTCAAGAACTGGGAATTTAGGTTGGACTCAGAGTTTCCAAAGTGAGGGGCCAGCCCCACCCAGAGACTCATAGCACCATTATTGATGTCCAGCAGAAGACAGATGGGGAAAAAGAGCTACTTTTGAAATTTTAAATGCATAGAAATCTTTTCTCATTTTAATTTTTTAAAGATGTGTTTATGTATTTGAAAAGCAGGATGGGAGACAAGGAGCTTCTGGGAGACAAGGAGCTACTGAACATGAGTAGGTTTTCTTCTCATCAATATCCCCATATAATACGATATCATACCTCTTTACATTACCTTAGGTATTACGCATAATCTAGAATGAGCAAAAGTATACAGAGAAAAGTGCTTAGGTTACGTGCAAATACTATGCCATTTTATAGGAGATTTTAGCATTGTGGAGTAGGGTATCTGCAGGGATACCCTATGGAGCCCACTTGATTCCATAAGCACACTGGGAAAAATGAGAAGGCAGGAGTGAAAAGCTGAGTGTACTTACCTGGAGGAGGAGTAGCCTTGCTTTCTGTGTCCTTGCTGTCTTGGCCTGAATCAGTCCCAAAAGGAAGCAAAACAGGGTAAGTAGTGTGAGTCCTGGCCTGGCCTGTCTTGCTCTCTAGCAGTCCCTTCCCAGGCCCGCTGCGCCACCATGGTCTGCCTCAATAGAGTTATGTGTAAAGCTGCTGGCTCTGGAATTCCAGAAACTACTAAGCTTGTTTCTCTGTTATGAGTTATGTGGTTATTATTGTGTGCCAGATATAGCAGGACAGCTTCTGGTGTGAAGTGACCTAACAGCAACCTCGTGAGTTAGTGCTATGCTCTCCCTCAATCAGAGATGAGGAAGAAGATAAGCAGGGAAGTTAGGTCACTTCCCCAAGGACACAAAGCTGGACAGTAGCACATTCAAAGCCAGCATGGCTGAAGACTTAACACACTTCACCATGATGCCAGACTATTACTTCGCCACTGGTTGGATGGCCAAAAGCTAGAAATGGTCACTTGAAAATACTTTGGAAAAAAAGAAACTGGCTTAAATTCATAGTGCTCCTAGATCAAGTCCATGGTAGTAGTAATGAAAATCAGGCTATGAGGTTTCCTGATGTGAATACAAATGCTCCAACAATGAGCAAAACTCAAGATCATTCTAAACAAGAGCAAACCATTCTCTTTCAAAGTAAAATTGATGTTAGAACCCCTGGGGCAGAGGCCTCTGCCTCCCACAGCTTCTCCTCTAACTGCAAAATGGGGATAAGGATGGATTTCTTGGGCCTGGCATGATGGCTCAGTGGCTAAATCCTTGCCTTACACATGGCAGGATCCTTTATGAGCACTGGTTCATATCCTGGCTGTTCCACTTCCCATCCAACTCCATCTTTGTAGCCTTGGAATGCAGTAGAGGATGGGCACAAACCTTGGGACCTGCACCCATGTGGGAGACCCCAGATAGCTCCTCGGTTCTGGCTTCAGTTTGGCTTAGCTCCAGCCATTATGGTTACACGGGGGGTGAACCAGCAGACAGAATGCCTTTCTCTCTGTCTCCCCCTCTGTAAAACTACCTCTCAAATATAAATAAAACAAACCTTTTTAGAAAAAAAGAACTGACTTCTTGGAAACATGGACTAATAACTGGGCCCATGTAAGAGGTGTGGAATGTGCTGCCACATGGAAGGCCCTCGTCAATGTCACTGCCCATTAACTGCCCTTTAATCTCAGTCATTAGTAAATAATTGTCAAATATACATAGACTGATTAGTCAAAGACCTATGGTTGCTGGTCACCACCTGCAAAGTGAGCAGATAATTGTGCTGATGCAGTGTTGGCCTAGATATGTTGGGGAAGGACACTGTTTACCAGGAGTTACCATGGAATAATGAAACAAGACTAGCCTCACTGAGTCCACTGGAATTTTTAATCTCCTTGAGTCTCTGGTTCCTACAGGTTCTCTAAAATAGTATCATAATATCTCCTCCAGCCCCTGCCCAGAGTGATCTTCAAAACTGGATATAAATGTATAGGTGGCATCCCACACTATATGCTTCCAATGTGCCTCTGCTTACTTGGGCCCAAGACAGTGGTCAGTCTGTTAGCTCTGGTCTCAGCAGCCACTGTGAAAACAAAAACACCCAACTTCAGTTCCCCCATCCAGTTTGGAGTTTAAGTCAACCGGAGTTCATCTCATCTGTGGATACAGGATTGGGGTCTAGCACCTAAAATACAAGGCCAGGAGCATTATGAGCAAGTAATAAGGCTTTATGGGGGTGTCTAAGTAGGTCCTTACTCAATGAACCCAGATTACAGCTTTACATGTGTTGGGATGAAGCAACAGTGAAGAGCCATTGTATCTCCATAAGGAATCAGTCCTTATGGTAAGGCTATTTCACAGGTGTTTGGCTGGAAATAGAACAAAAGCCTGGCATCACTGGGACTCAAAGGGAAACATCACACTTTCCAGGACCCTGGTGGCCGGCAGAGTGATCTCCTGAGGAGTCACTTGCAAAGATTAGGATGTGCAGACAAGTGGCATATATATACACAGAATCAATTCTGTGAAAACCCCAGGCAGGGGACATCTTAGTGGAGTTGATGCTTGGTTATGTTTATGGAACAATCATAACATGGGCATGTGGGCCACCAGCCAGCCCCATTGGGAATGGCCCAGTAAGAAAACAGCTTGGTTCTACCCCAGCTCCTTTAACTCACCTTCTCCTGAGAGAGCTGTCAGGCTGATATCTGTGGGCTCCACAGGAAACTCTGGAAACAGAGAGACCCCAAATGACCAGTGCAGCACAGGGCCAACACCAGGCACAGGATCAGTTGGCAGGCCACCAGACCAGGGCAGAAAGCAAGACTTGTCCATGTGTCCACCAGAGGAGCGACTCATTTCTCCTGTCCTTCCCAGAACATAGACCCCACTTCTGGAGTCTGATTGAGGAAGTGGACACTTCTGGACATGGACTAAAGGCAATGAAGGGATTGCAAACTCCAAGTTTCCCATCTTGGGAAAACCCCAGTTCAAAGGGGAGGAAAGATGGAAGAGTGGAAAAGAACGAACTCGAGAGGGGGCAGTGGGGAGCGCTTAGAGAAACGTGAGGACACACACATACACGGCACACTTACACATATGCCTTACCCTGAGTGTGCACACACACACTTTTGCATACCCATGCGCACGTATCTACATACACACCCCTTCACATTCACACACACCCCTCCACACACACAGACATATAGAACCATCTACACATTCCCTAAGTATACACTCATTCATATGTACCACCATGCCCGTACTTGCAGACACACACACACAGTTTTCCTCATAAGAAAATATTGCATGATTGACTGTGGCAGTGAGATCCCAGCACTAAAAGAGGAGGGGTAACTTTGTTGAGGCACAGCTTGAATTTGTGCCGAAAGAACCTGGAACTGAGAAATTGTAGAAACTTCGGTGAACAAGGAACAGCAGTCATGGAAGTGTCTCTCACATGTTTATAAGTTCTGTATTATCGAGTAAGAATGATGTTTTGCTGAGTTTGTTGGGGCAGTTACTAAGACGCCATTCTGCCCTGGATAGAGTTGTAAGAAAGCAACCTCTCTTTCATAGTCTCCCTCTAAATCCAGGGTATACACACACACCCCTTCCTATCCACACATGCCTACACACCCCTCACACATGACTGTCCATGAGCACACACACACATACACACCCTCCATTCTCTTACATACAGATGCCTGTACAACCCACATATGCATGCTCACATCTACATATACACACACCCATGCACACACACCTCCAAGACTCCCTCCACATCCAAACATGTGGAGCTATACATTCATACACACCTACATTTCCAACCCCCTTTGGGTGTGGACCAGTCAGAATGTGGGTCTGTGGCCACCAAGCAACTCCATTGGGGGTGGCCCAGTCAAAACATACCCATGTTCAAGCTTACACATACACCGATGCACCCCCTCACACATGCACATTCATACACACACTCCTGCACATAACCCTCCACACTCATGCATACACACTCATCCTCCTGTTGTGGCTCCAGAGAACGCATGAAGGACAAGGAGTGGGTGATAAGGGGAAGCAGCAGGCTTGCTTCTAGGACCCACAGTAATGGGAACCCAGTCAGCCTAGAGGGCCCTGCTGCCTGACCCATAGCTCCTGTGTGGCCACATCTCCTGGTAGGATATAGGAAGGACAGAGAAAGCTATTGGGATCTACATCCCAAATCCACACTCATTTATGTAGCAAGGGGCAGGATCCACACTGATGCGATGCGATGTTTCATGTTTGGCTGTAGTAATAGCAATCCCACTCCAGACCCAGGAGGCAGGGGCATGTCCAATGCTGGGGGTCACCCCAGCTTCCAAGAGGTAGGCCCAGAGGAGGAGGCGTGTTCATAGAACCCCCACATCATCCATCACCCACCCTCCCATCACCTTTGCAATCCCAGTTACAGCCAGTTCCCAGGAGGCCTCACCTCTGGGCAGCTCCTTTCTGCTGGTTGTCTCTGTGAGGAAAGCACATAGGAAGTGTTTTTAGAGCAGTGGGCTTAGTGGACAGTGTGAAGGTTCCACATGTGGAATGTGAAGATAGCATTTATGGGCTCCATCCCAGCTCTTGTCTCAATTGTCAATCCCTGTGTCAATGCAAGATCCAGACCTTCTTACCTGGAGTCTGAGGCAGGCAAAAGGAAGAATCCAGAAGGTTCATGGAAGAGTTGATGCCAGACTGAGCCAAGCACTCTATGGCAGTCTTGTCACAGGTACACAGCAAATGCTCACAAGGGTCCTTGAACTCTGCCCAGAGAAAGGGAGACATGGGTTAGAAAGATCTTCCTTGGAATCCCGATGGGTTATGCTAGTTCTGAAACAGCTTCTGATCAGCTCTTTCAAAATCCTATTCCACTTGCCCATTTCTTCAAGTCAGTCATGTCTGGACCATCTCATCAGTTTTGTGGGTCCCACTCACTTTCTGTACCACCAGTCCCTATATCTCCACTTTTGGCATATTTAGAGTTTGACCATGTCATCCATCTCTACTTTGTCATGCTGGCCAAGACTCCATCACAGCTTTACAGGTTTGAGTTTCCCTGCCTTCTTCCTTGTTGTGCAGTGTAGCCTCCTGGGAGCTTACAGGAGCAAAATCACCTTTGAAAAATTATGGTCAAGCTCTTCTCTTCAAAACACTCCAGTGGCTTCCCATCACAGGACTCCTCTCCCTTCGAGCCCTTCCTGGCCCCTAACCATCACTTATTTCTACCTCTCTGTCCACATTGTGCCTCTGTGGACACTTCAAGGATCCCAGTGTTCTACTTCTTTGCCAGGTAGCAACAAAGATCCCTTCCTACCTCTTCTGCGGGATTTTGCTCAACTCTCACCATCTCAGAGAGGTTCCTGGACCTTTCTGTGTAAATAGGAGCCTCCATCCTAGTCCTGCTTATGCCTTTTCTCTGCTGTATTTTTGTCCACAGCTTTTGTCACCAGCAGGCACACAGCTCATTTGTGCATGACTCTGTCAGTGTCTCGCAATCTAAAGGACAGCACAGAAGGTGAGGGTGTCCCCAGAACTGGCACGATGGCCTCACTCTGGTGTCTTGCTCAACACAGACCTGATGAGTGAATGAGTGAATCCTGTTTCCCATGCATACTGTGCACTCCACCAATGGTTCACACTCTGTGCCCCATCTCACTGGTTGCCTGATGCTCCATATCTTCACTTCCCATTCAATTCATGTTAGCTAGACCTGGAATTAGATGGACCTAGGGTCTAATGCTATCTCTGACTCTTAGTGCTCAGTGGCTTTGCAAAATTATTTAGGTTCCTTTCCTTGTCTGAAAACAATAGGAATAGTCCCATCTATTAGGGTGGTGGGAAAGAGTTGAACTGCTTTGTGTAAATTCCATGACACATAGGAGGCATGTAACAAAAGATGACTCTAATTAAGTGCCCAGACACAATGTGTTCCCACTTCCTTCTAAGCCTTTCTTCTATCAGGGTTGCTTAGGGATATGAAAATAATGTGGGTAGCTGAAATCTGAGCCCATGTACATTTTGCGCTACATAGCACCACTGTCACTACCAGATGCCTCATCACTACTCCTGCACCTCTGTCCATCTCTGATGTCTTAAGACATGTCAGTTGCTGTGACAACTGTTTTTACAAGCATCACTTAATTTAGTTTTCTCCATGAGTCTCCAGAATAGGTACCGTCCTATACACTTTGATGTTTGTGGGAGTTAAGCATCTGCCCCCAATATTACAGAATGCACAAGAAGAAAACAAATACTGCTTTACTAGTCTTCAGAGTTCCTCATGTGAAAACTGTCAGCTATACCTGCACTCCCATATTGACAGCCTGTTCACAACAGCCAAGAAATGGAAATCACCTAAGTCTCCATCTCCTGAGAGAGGACATAGATGCTGTGGCACGTAGTCGCGATGGAATACTACTCAGTCACAGAAAGGACGAGGTCTTGCCATCCACAACAGCATGCATGGAGCGGGATGTCATTATGGTAAGTGAAATAAGCCAAATATAGACAGGCAAGATTCTCTTGATCTCACTCCTAAGCTGAGTCTACAATAAAGCCATCTCATACTGGGGAGAGAAGAAAAGGTTGGGAAGAGGTGAAGTTCATTGATGGGAGCCAGGTAATAGCTAGATTACAGTAAGAACTGCTGGGTTTGTTGCACAACTGGGAAATTACAGATAATATCAATATACTACATATTTTGTTATAAGAAGAAAAACCCTAGAAGACAGGGTTTTGGATGTTTTTGCCACAGAGCAATGTTCAGAGTTTGAGGAGATAAATATGGACACCCTGATTGGATATTACACAAATATACATGTGTCAAAAAACACATGTTAATGTGTAAATGTGTATAATGTATATCAAAAAGTAGTTTTTCCTAAATAAAAGTGAAATAATTGGCTGAACTTTTCCAACTCAGAAAACACTTATTGTGTATCTGCAGATGCCATAGCTCCAGCCCTTGTGGGGCTCATAGAACCACGATGTTGCTGATGGCAGTGAGGACACAGGTGGATCTTGGCCATGCCTTCATCCCAGACCTGTCTTCCTGAGCACAGCCCTCCTGAGGTGCCCGGACATGCTCACCACACGTGATCTTCTTGCTGATGCAGTCCACATCTGTACTGAGCTTGCTGGGGTCTTGCAGGCAGTCCATCTCAGCCGCCTCTTCATAGCACCTGCGGTGCTGGAAGCAGCAGCTGTGGCAGGAAGAGAGAACAGGAGGAAGTTAGATTGAGAAGGAAACGGGCATGCAAACCCTGGTCACTCCGTGTCTCCAGACTTCAGGGAGTGATCTGTTTCAAATACTTGGTGAGTGTGTGACATTTACACTCATGCACACCTTCCTATCTTACAAGTTTCAGATTGCAACAGGACCACACTGGCCCTCTTCAGCTTGTGGACTTTGTGACCCGCATCTCAGGGTTTAGGTGGCTCAGTGAAGGTCAAGGTCAGACATGCCTTGATCTTCTGCAGATGCATAATCCCACTGCTGTCCACGTTTGCCTGTGGAGCCAGCCACCACCATAATCAGCTGCCCATCGTCCTCTTCCTCCTGCCTGGCCTCACACAGGAGCTGAAGTCGTTGCCCTATTTTGGGTTGCTGGTGGTAGGAGACACAATTCCATCAGTGGCTTGGACTGCCTTAAGAAGAAGAGGCCGAGGCAGATGTGCAGGATTCACTCTACACTTCGGAATGAAGAGGCCCCGATGGACTAGTTAGCAAACCTGGAAACCATGCAGCAATCAGGAAGGGGAGCAAATCATCAGCAAGAGAGGAGCCCCAGCTAGAGAACATGGGGCAGCCTCCTGAGCAGGTGACGTCTGTGTTAAGAAATTATCCTTCTCTCTACATCCAAGACAGGTGTTTGAAGCTGACACTCCCAGCAAGTGGAGGGAGGGGAAAAAGCAACTAAGTTATTCTGAAGACAGGGAAATGATCAAACATTAAGACCACGATTCCGGCACAGATCAGCTTGGGTTATCCCAGATCTCATGAATAAAAAGAGCACATAGGACAACACTTTGGGACGAATGCGTAGACAAGGATGTGGGGGCCCAGAGAGGGGGTGTGACTTCTGTGAGGTCACACAGAGAGTGGAAGAGTCCAAGGACTGGGCTTGGCAGGGTTTCTGCTTTGCTTCAGACCTAACGCATTACACAGACAGCACGTGGTGGGCAACACAGAGTGTTCTGCCACTAAAACAGAACAAAGTTGGAGTCTGTCACAGACAAGGGCCGGGGAAAACCATATTCTTTGTAATTGGAGAAGTCTGCCAGCTTGAGGTGGCCCTGGGTTTCAGCTGGATTCACTGAAAACTTGATGCCTGAAGACCATGGGGGGCGGGGAGCATCTTAAATATAAGCCTGTCTGCGGAGGAGACAGGTGAGCTGCGTTTGGACGATTGCCCAAGATGGAGCCACTCCCTCTGGGGCGATGGAGAGAAGAGCCAAGGCAGAGCCACGGCCCTCCACTGCCCTCCTCCAGGGCAGGGATGCTGCGTGGTGAGGCGGCTGCTGCCAGCATAGCACCAGGCTTCCTCTCACTTGAGAGGCAGGAGAAAGTGCTGAGCGGGACCCTACAGCCAGAACCAGCGAGTCTGCATCCTGGCTGCCAGAGCTTCCTCACAGGCAAGTTACTTGCGTCTTTGCAAACTAATGTTACCATCTCAAATATGTCTGCTAATCACGGTTAAGATGTTTGGGTCCAGCTGCTGGCATTCTTCTAAGCATTTAACATCTAATGTTTGTAACAAACCTGTGAGCAAGGTGATGTTACCCGTATCTTACAGGGTGCGGAAGCCCCCAGAGGGCAAGCGACTCTCCCAATGCTGGCCTACGCACGGATGGCCTGAGCTGGGAGTAGAGGTCTGGTGGTCAGGCTTGGAGCTTTGCTTGTAAAAGCTGCCTTTCCTGAGAGGGCAGAAAAGCTGTGCTGGCAGCCAGGAGATGCTGTCTTCACTGTCAGTGCTGCTCCTTCACCTCGGAGAGACTTGGCGACTTGCTGGGTGCACGGCCACTCTCCTGTCCTTGGATGGCTGTGCTCCTGCCTGGAGCTTGGTGTGGGAGTCAGGCAGGGAACGCTGAGGAGAGATGCCATTGGTGAATCCGGGACCTGAGGGCGGGGCCTTGCTCCTGGAGAAAGGAGGCACCAGGCTTGCTATGGACTCAGAAAAAAGGCTCCCACTGGACTCCAGTCCTGGGCCCAGGAGAGAGAAGTTAGAGTGGGGCCTTGGAAACTAATGGGGATGGTGTGGAAAACAGGTCCCAAGAAGGGCTGCTAAAGCGGCTCCTGAAATCACCGCTCCTTCCTTGGTGCCTGACTAGCAGCTGCCGCGAGTTGAGCCTGTGCCGCCACGCTTTGTTCTGTTAACCGCATTCAGTCCTCGTGTGAAGGTGAGATTATTATGATGTGCATTGCTGTATGTGTGCTCCGAGGCATACAGGCTCTGGAACTTGTCAAAGTCAAGGTTTGTCACAGAGCATGGATGGCATTCAGAGTGGGTGGTCAGGGGCTCCAGGTGCAAACAGGAAGTCAGTGGAGATGGATTTAAAGGAACTGTTCAGGTGTCCAATGAGTTTGGGCAAGCCACTAAATCACTCACAGTGTGAGAAGTTATCTACACCCTTCCACCTGGTAAGCACTTAGTAAAAGGCAGCAGTGTTAGGAATCTTGTGTGAGCTTTCAAGGTGGAAAGAGCTTGTAGGAGCGTGGAAAGAGCTTGTCTTCAGGAGCGTGGAAAGCTCCACTTCCACCTGCTGAGCTGCGCAAAATGATTGTAATTGGGTGTCACATCATTCTGCATCTCCAGGACATGGTGCGATTAAGCAGTGCTTTGTTTCTTCGGATTCTAGGTCTACACATGTTTTCTTTCAACAATTAAAGGAGGTGGTAAGTGGAAACAGCTGCGGAAAGGGCCTGGCCCAGGGTCCCACACAGTATCAGTCGCTTCTATGTGAATGTTTTCAAGCTCCCTCCTGGAGTTGGTTTGCTCACGGACCCTACCATGGGAAATTGCACTCTCACATGCAGGTTTCACAGCAAAGCTATTGCCTTTGTCCAACCAGTCACACCACCACACATTACTTCATTGAGTTTTAATCCTTTAAGAATAATGGCAGATTGGCCACCTGGTCAGTGTGTGAGGTCCTACTATGTTCCAGGTACTATACATAGTGCCTGAAGTACACAGCCTGGACACAGTACAGTCCTTGCTCACAGGACCGATGGATTCCATAGACATGCACTGGAGAAGGTGATGAGTGCAAGGAAGGAAGCATGGGGATTTGGGGAGGACTGCCCTGATGCCTAAGATGTTCAGAGAAGTGGTCTTCCAGGAGAAATGCAGGACAAAATTGAGCTCTGGCAGATACTACCATGGGACTCCCGTGTTTTCCTATAGCGGAAAAGGCGTACACTATCCCTGGGCACAGAGGTAGTTCATTGGGTGAGATGTGGTCCATGAGTAGAGACTGGGTTCAACTTCGTACTTCTGAGTACTAGTGTTGCAGATGCTGTTGCTACAACTACTATTATTACTTGTACTACTATGATCGCTCCTATTACTGTTGCTGTCATTTGTTGCTATTACTGTTAATACGATTAAGACTACACTGCAATTGTTACTATGATTATTACTATTGATACCAGTAATATTCTATGGTTACAGCTCTACTTCTGTGGTTACTAATGCTAGTGCTGCCAATCACTACAGACTTAATAAGGCGCACAGCATTTCAGTGATTTAACCTGAACTTGGTAATTGACTCCTAAGTAATAACTCTGTGCTATAGATACTATCATCACCTCCACTTTACAGATGAATCTGAAACACAAAGGCATTACAGCTTGTATAAGATTACAACAATAGGAGCAAAAACTAGAAGCACCAAGGATCAGTGACTCACTGATATACTTTAAAATGTTAAGCAGTGGCACCATATTTCCCATGACTGACCCTCCTGTTTGTGGTCCCCCGTTGCCGTCTTGATGCCAAACCATAATGATAGAGTTTACATTGCTAATACGATGGGTAAAAGTTGGCATCCAGTCTTAACTTGCAATTCCCTGGTGTGGAGGAATGGAGCATATCTTTGCTGCCCACTTATATTCTTTATAATTGCCACTGAGTATTGGGCAACAGATGAATGGTATTTGTTTTTGACACAGGGGCAACAAATTATTGCTATTTGAGTCATATGTGTTGAAACGGTACATAAATCTTCATAGTTGCTTTACCTATTGTGGCCCAAATTGCTCTGAATTAGAAATATTTCTCAAACTTTATTATACCAAAGAGTCACTAGGGAGCTTGTTTACAATTCAGAATCCTGGGTTTCACCTGAAGGTATCCTAAGGTGTTCAATGGAGGATCTGCATTTAAACAAACACCTAAGTGGTTCTGATACAGATGAATCCAAACTTAGAAAAAATGCTAAAATGAAGTCTTACACATTGGTCATAAATTAAGATTCTTCTAGAATGACTTCAGATAGCAGCTTACAATGCAACGAAAAGGTGCGGATACCAGGTGCCTGGAATTAAGGTGTTGTCTGAGTCTCTATTCCAGGGCAGTTTCCATGTTTGTGCTCTGGTGTCATGTGTCAACTACTCCCACTGCTTACCCATCCAACAACCAGAATCCCTTCTTCCTTATTAATAAAGCTTTAGGAAGTTGATTCTGTTGTTTAAGTCCCTGGGATGTCTTACAATATTCTTAGAGGATGATGGTCATCCTGTGAGCTCAACTTTCAGGCTTGCTTACCTGTGGCTTACCTGTGGCTCTCGCTCACCTGTCAGGCTCATCCATAGGCAGCCCTTCCATCTCAAATCTACAGGCGCAACCATAGTCTTCAAAGTCCCGGGGGCAGAGGCCAGCCACGCACTTCATGCCGTTCATGAACTGGAGGAGTGCAGGGAAGTTGGTGAAGACAGCCTGAAGCCAGGTGAAGTGGGATCCCAGGCAGTCTGGGCAGAGGGGCAAATGTACAGAAGGGTGATGAGAACCAGGGTCTCGGAAGGAGTCCCCATTCATACATCTGAACTTGTTTACCTTGAACTTCCTAACTTAGGACTGATGATGCCACATTACCCTTGCAAGAACCTACAGAGTCCTCAAACTATTGAAGGGAAGCAGGCTTTGAATCCACAGCCCCTGTTGTCTGCCTGTCTAGCAGTCTTAAGGCCTTTCTTCCTTGCTGATGGAGCTGAAGGAAGGCAATCTTCCCTAACTCCCTGGGATGCTTCGTGATGATTCTTAGAGACTTCTGGTCATCCTATGCTTCTGTGTTAATGAACTGGGAGTTTACCATGAGATCCAGATCTAATCATTAAGAACCCCAAGTCTTTTGGCTTGTCCTGGGAAGTATTTATTTTCTAATAGAGAATAAAGGAAAACAAAGACATTCTTTGTTTTTACTGTTCTCTCTTACAAGTGGATGAGGATATGCTGGTTAGAATTGCAGTCACTGGCACCCTGATACCCCAAACCTGATTTAAAATTAAATATGCTCATGGTAGCAGTGAAACAATATAGAGTGAGCATGGTGTGTCTCTGTTGTGTATGTTGAGCTGCTGGTGCCATTATACTTTTTGCTGCTCTAGATAATGAACTGTGTTGGTTGTTCAAGGTGCTGTTAGTTTTCTGAGTAGCTCTTAAGTGGTAGTGCCAACTGGCACTGTAGAACTTATAGGAAGGAAAGGTTATAGACATGAGCTTTGAGGACCTGGTTGTTGCCATAAATTGCACTATGTCTTTTCATTTATTCAGTTGTTAAGCTTCATAATGCCACATAATGTGTTAGAAAGTATTCACTTTATCTTATTCCATAAACCTTATATTAATCCTATAACCTCCAATAGGACATGCCTAAAGGATAACAATTTACCCTAAAGCATACTACAATAGAATTGGCAATAAAATTAGTATTTTTTTTCTGATTCTGAATAACATATTCAACTTTCCCATTATCTGCCTTTCTGGCTAGAAGGCAATTAAGTTCTGAGTAGAGAGAACCCAAAGGGTTGACTAAAATGCACAGGGTCATGAGAGGCAGCTGGGCAGACCAGCTCTGGGTAGACCAGCTGTGGTTTCTTCCCACCTCATTCAAACTCCATGTTTCATGTTTTATTTCAATAATGCCTCACTGAATAAACTAAAGTGATCTATGCTGATAGGAAAAGCAAAGGTTTATATATGTATTTATATAAGTATATATATTTACTTGAAGGGCACTTAACTGCACCTTGTTAGACATTCTTTATTATTTTTTTTTATTGGAAAGGCAGATATACAGAGAGGAGAGACAGAGAGGAAGAGGGGAAGATCTTCCATCCGATGATTCACTCCCCAAGTGAGCGCAACAGCCGATGCTATGCCGATCCGAAGCCAGGAGCCTCTTCTGGGTCTCCCACGCGGGTGCAGGGTCCCAAAGCTTTGGGCCGTCCTCAACTTCTTTCCCAGGCCACAGGCAGGGAGCTGGATGGGAAGCCGGGCTGCCAGGATAGAACCGGCGCCCATATGGGATCCCGGGTTCAAGGCGAGGACCTTAACCACTTGTGCCACCGCACCGGGCCCTGTTAGACATTCTTGTACAGCACTGTCTAACCCAATAGCCCTGAGTCTGTTTGCCCAAGTATCGTACTGTTGTTTCTCTTTGGAATACACTTACAGATTGACACAGGAATTATTATGGAGTCCAGATCATCATAAAATAGACATGCAAGTGATAAGTGTAATACTTTAAAGGATTCTGTAATATGTAATATGAATATATGATATTCATGAATTCATACGCTTGGAACTCCTTAAGTCAGTCTCTCTCTCTCTTTCACACACACACACACACACACACACACACACACACACACTTACTTACCATTTGGGGATAAATAAAATTGCTTTGGTATAGGGGAGTAAGTTCTGGACTCAGAGAATACATTCTTTGTAACTACGTGGCCATAGGTAAGTCACTTAACCTCATTAGCCTCAGTTCCCATGGCTCAGTTTCCCTCCTGGGTTGCAGTATGAACAATAAAGTGGGGTCAGTGAGGGCATAGTGCCTCCTCCAGTGAAAACTGCCACTTCACTGATCAGAACCTGGGTGACATGGTTGAGGGCCTGCTAGGGCAGCTGTGGGCACTGGGAACAGAGACTAAGGCCCTGGTCATTTCCTCAGGTTTCCCAAACATACATCATGCAATGCTAATTAGTGGATAAAAGCAATTTAACTCACCAAAAATTTCAGCCACACCTTCCACGTTTTTAAATACCCCATTGAAGAATGTGACGTCTAAGTGGAAGGAAGTAAACATAAATGAAAAGGAATGCAGGAGTCTTCACTCACTCCTCCCCCGTGTCCAGAAGGGACAAACCTTTTCTACTTCAAGGACAAATTGGGCCTTGGGTTAATTTTCGAGTCATACAGGTTACCATGGAAACTTGATGACTACACAAATCTGAGCTATGATACCAGGTATTATTGATAAGGTGTATCAGGACTGGGGAGAACTGTGTGTGTGCTGTAAATACTTGGTGGGCAGGTGCGGTCTTGCTGTGGTTCAGCTTGATGACTCTTATAACTGGGAATGCTCCTTCTGAGCATCCTGTTTAATCTATGGAAAACGATGAAGCTTCCAGACCAGGGCATCTCATTCCCTCATTCCTGAGGGAGGGATGGCCTGGGACTCCTGGACTGTGACATAGATCCTTAGGAGGCTGCTCTTGCTGAAGAGGAATGGCTCTGGTGCCAGCAGGAATGCGTGTTTCCTGGCTTTCTTCTGGAAGGGCCCAGTATGTCCTGTATGACCTCTTTTTGGGCACTGTTTCTCCTGGGGGTGACGCCCCTTGGAGAGAGGCTCCTTGTGTGAGTGTGTGGGCTGCTCACCTTATCTCTCGGCCTCTCTCTGTGGAAGGTTGGGAATGAACCACCTGTTTCAGGCTGACATCACTGGCTAGTCTATCATGATTATGCTCTGCGGTGATACCCACAAAAGAACTATGAACTCTTTATAACCCATCACCCAAACAGCTTTCCAGTTGTTCAGGCTTAAAATCAGATCTCATAACTACAGCAATCAATACAGTCTTCCCTCTTCTCTTGCATGTTAGAAAACTCAGTTTGTGGCTGACACAGTTACATCCCTCATGATCAGCTTCTTTACTTCATTTTTGTTCTCAGTATATTTTTGATTCAGGGGATAATTTTCAGACTTGATCTCAAAGGAGAGACTAGTGGATCAGACACTGGGGGAGATTGCTGGGGAGATTTGAGTTTCACCTTATCAATGCTCTAGTAGTAAGTGATTTAGGGTATATTCAGAACAGATTGTTTTATCTACCAATATCCTAGACAACCTTCTCCCAAGACCCTAGGGAAATTTCAGACTACTTACTGATGTGTTTTGAGAGTCCTGGAGGCAGCTCCCGAGGAAGGTGTGGTGTATCCAGAGCATGGCCCTCTGTAAATAAGGAGAAGGATGAGGGTTCGCAGAGGCACTTCCGTCACCCACCAACTGTTGGAGGCCAGGAGGTGACATGCAGCAGAACTGTGGGAGTGCCTGCAATTCCATCCCATGCATGTGCGAGACCTATGTGATGGCTCCTGAAGACAATGATGGACAAGCCGGGGGAGACTGCTATGTTTCTCTTTAAAGATTTATTGTTTGTTTGAAAGGCAGAGTTGCAGAGAGAGAAAGATTGATCCTCTCTGTGTTAATTCAGTCTCCAAATGGCCAAATCTGAGCCAGGACAAAGCCAGGAACCTGAAGCTTCATCTGGGTTTTTCCACTCAGGTGGCAGAGGCCTGGATACTTGGGCTTGTTTGGGTTCTTTCCCAGGTAAAGTAGCAGGGAGCATAGGTTTGAATGTTGGTTGCCCCAATTCTTATCCAGTTTCTTGCTAAAGTGCCTGGGTAGGAAGCAGAGGATGGGCCAAGGGCTCTGCCTCCAGTACTCACATGGGAGATTGGAATGGGCATCAGCCAACCCAACCCTGGCTAGGGCAGCCACTTGGAGAGTGAACATGTGGGTAATCTCTCTTCTCTCTCTTCCCCTCTTCTCTCTCTCTCTTCCTTCTCATTCTCATAAACAAATAAAATAAACAGATAAGCCTTTATACACACACACATACACACATATATATGGAACATCCTGGACTTGAACCAGAATCCATTGGGGAGACTAGATAGACAGTACCTTAACCTGCTGTGTCACAGCACTGGGCCAACCCTGTTTTTGTTTGTTTGGTTTTGCTTCTGATTTCTTTTATTATTATTGATTGCATTGCATTATGTGACACAGTTTCATAGGCTCTGGGATTCCCCCAACCCCTCCCCATACCCTCTCCCCATGGTGGATTCCTCCACCTTGTTGCAGTATTACAGTTCAAATCAACCCTGGTATTTTATATTAGTGATTAGCTCCTTGTGGTTGGAAATGGCTTGAAGACTGATCTTGAAGCTGTCTTCACCTATGAAACAAATGGTTTTGTTTAGTCACATATTTGCCTTGGAGTTTCTTAAGCTAAAGCAATGATATAGGAAACATTTATAGTTGAGGATAAAAGTTTCCCTTAAATGGTGAGCATCAAAATTGCCTGAGATGCAGGGTCAGTAGACGTTTAGATCTCCATGCCCTCATGCAAGCCTGATCTAGCCAGTCTGCAGTGGGACTCAAACAGATGTTTGGTTAGTGGTTGAGATAGCAATTCAAACACTCCTGGCCCGTATTAGGGCTTGGAATTAATACCTCCCCCTGCTCCTGATGTCACTCTTCTGCTGGAGGCACCAGGGACAGCTCTAGTGCCGGGGCTTCTGCCCACGTGGGAGCCCTTACTGAGCTCCGTACTCCCAACTAGTGGCTACAGCCTGCAGCCCAGGGCTGTTGCATGTGTTTGTTCCTGCCCTCTGGTCCGACCTCCAATTTCCCTCCTCTCACTGTGTCTCAAATAAATTTAAGAAGAGGAGAGGGGAACAAACAGGCATTTTCATGCTCACAATATAGTTTAGAAGCCCATGGTCTAGAAATGTCACTTAAATAGTGTGTGGGCCCAAAGCACTGTTCCAACTGTCAGCTGGCATATCCTCCTGGGGGCCCTGAGGATGCACTCTGGGGCAAAGGCAAAGGCAAATGGGCAGGGGCTGAAGTCTCACTTTGTCCTCAGCCTTGTTCCCTGAAGGCTCAGAGAGGGGACAGACTTGTCCATTCCCACATATTTCTGTAACTGTTGAGATCCTGGTCGTTTACCAAGTGGACAGTAGTGAATCTGGCATGTCAGGTTCACACTGCTGAGAAACCCTACCAATCAAGCAGCCATGCAGGGCCAGCCTGAGGAACTGACTGATCAGGAAAGTGCCCCCGATGATGACTGCCTTGGCCCTGATTGGCTTGGAGCCTCTTGACATTGACATTTGGGGTTGGGAATTTCCTCTTGGGGACATCTTCAGACTGATGAGAGCAGCCATCTGCCTGGGCCTTTTGTCCTCCCAAGGAATAGTCACAAGCTGCCATGTCCATTGTCTTCTATCACAACTCAGTCTGCCTGGAGATGCCAGATAACCTTGCAGAGGAATCAACAGCCCTGCTCCAGAGCCTGGCGAGCTTGGACACTACAGCCTCTCTAGACCTCACCTGTAAAACAGGTGGGAACAGGCATGAAAGAGTCACCTTGAGCCTTTCCAGAACCAGAGGACAAGGTCCCTCAGCTCTCCACTGCCTGCAGACACCTGCTGATCCATGACAGAATCCGAAGCTAGAGAGAAAGGGCCCAGTGTGCTGCCTGAGGCAGGGTGGCCCGTTCAGCACCAGGAGCATTGTTCCTTTCCTCGTGAGGCACGATTCACAGGCACAGCCCACTGGTCACCCTGCAGCCCAGGTGGGGTGGGCTAAGGGCAAAGGTCAGTTTCACCTCCGTGGACATGTTCACCAAGGTGACCAGATCGCAGACATAACCAAGGGATGAAGCTTGGGGGTGTTTCGCAAAGGCACGAGGAGGGAGACACATGAGACATTTGGGAACAAATCTGTACCCCAATATGGCATCAAGAAGCAGCTTAACTGGATGCACCACAAGGCCCTGCCCTTAGCTCAGACTTAAAGTAGAATAGTGCACAGACTGAAGTCAGACTGGTGAATGACTGCAGTTTGCCTGGGGTGTGCAGGGTGGTGTGGGAGCAGGGCTGTCCTCCATATGGGCAGGAGCAGGGCAGAGAGCTGACCACGGGACTTTTTTCAGTGCTGCCACATCTCCCAGGTTCTTTGCGTGGAGAGGGCTTTCCCTTCTGGAAGCTGCTGGCTTCTCGAACGTGTCCTGCAGACCCGGGGGAGACTCCAATGTCAGTTCCATTTTAGCGCTGCCACAGGGCCTTGTGTAATTACTTGGCTCCATTTGCATTTGGCATAATTGCCTCTGCAAGTGCCCGATGAGCACAACAGCCAGTGGCTAAGAACACCTGTGACCCGCTTGAGCAGCCATTGTGCACTATTCAGTATTCGTCAATGGTTACTTTACCCCTGCTCCTGTGTGTGGCTGACAATGAGATTTCTCTCTGGAGGGTGGAAAATGAACATAGGATGCACGTTAACTCCATAGGCCGTACTGTGGGGGCTGCCATGTCCACATCTTGGCATTAACAACAGGACATCCTGAATCCACCACTGCTTATCCCAGAGGACTGGATAAATGTCTTTGGGGTCTGGCAGCAGGAAGGGTAGTGTGGAAGTTTGGAGCAATGTCAGGGAAGCACGTACCAGAATGATGTTGATTGTGAGCCAGAAGGGGGAGGCACTTGGCCTTCGTCCTGTTCTGGGAGCAGAGCCTGTGCTGAGGTTTGCATCATCGCCTGGCCTGATGGTTGCACTAGGGCTCCCAGGCATACTGTCTTTACCATTTGATGAAAACAAGAAGCTCCATGACCAGCACATTATGCAGCCTCTACTGAATTGCCATAAACCTTGAACTTCATGTTTGTGCTAGGCTGAAATCTTTGTGATCGAGACCCCCTACCGCTTCCAGCTGTCCAGCCTTTGCTTGGACTCTGCCCTGAGCCTGGGGTGCCCTCCCCACCCCTGAGGTCCTGGCTTTGTGCCATGAGTTATGAGAAATGCCAGCCATGTGCTGTTGGATGTGCTAACAGAGAAGCAGGTCCAGGTCTGAGAGCACTGTAGTGACACCAGCAAGAAAGCAGCAGAGAAGCGGCCAGAGCCCCCACATGAACTCGGACCAAGGAGTTTGCTTAGCTGTCTTTAGGGTTTAGGAGTGCAAGACTCACTTGGGAATGTGAGGACAGAGGGATGGAGCTATCTGCCTTTTACCTTGGGCATGCCTGGTAAAGAGAAGGGGACATTGCTATGCATCAGAAAGGTCAATATTCTGCACAGGGCGCCAGCCAGATGAGGGACAACAGCCCATGGCCAGCGATGGGTCAGCAAAGTGTGCTCGGGCAAAGGGAAATTTCTTTTGGGCCAATATTTTGCTTTTTAGCTACATCTGTGCTTTATCCTGTCTCCTGTCACTCTCACGTACAGGTGCTCACATGCATCCAGTGAACTAAACCTACAACTCCTCACTAATAATTCATTTGCATCAGTCATTGGGCTGAAAAAATACACTAAGTTCTTCTGACGGTATTAGACATTATCTGCTTGTATTCCTGTTAATTACATGCTGAACTGGAAATATGGTGTGCAATATGACTCACCAGTAGAGGGCACCAGCAGCACACCAAGAAGGAGGAGAATCATGGCAGGAGAGTCTAGGAGGAGACCCAGGGCATCGGCTGGAGCAGCCTCCTAGGAGAGAAGTCGGCAGATCTGATAAGCATGGTGTCAGGGACCCCCGGAAGGAACTGCCCCTCCTGTGTCCCACATGGTGTGTGGTAAAGGAGATAGTCCTAAAAGGGCTCCGTCAAATGGAAACTTCACCAGAAGGCCCTGGAGGACATTACTTATTGCACACTCATGGACTGAGGCCTGCTGTGGCTTAGGCATCAAAACTCCAGGATCGAGGAATGCAAAGTGAGGAAAAGACACACTGTCCACCTGCAAGATGTTCACAGAGCAACAGAAAGTGGAGATGACTGAGCAGGTCCCATAGCTTGCCGTTCATCACTTGAACATTAAAAACCCAAGTTACGAATACACCTCTAGCAAGCTGAGTTTGAATACTTGGGTCAACATCCATTCACCTAAATTTTGCAACCATATAATAGCAAGTGAGGCCTGCCCTGTGCATGGCTGCCTGACTTCTCTTGCTAGTATTGGAGCCTGTTGAATATTTGCCTGCCTTCCAAAGGGTTCAATATTCAGTTGTGCCTTAGGGGCTGCTCCAGGGCAAAGGGACAAGGTGTGTGGAACCTAGGAAAGCTTTTTTGTGCCCAGGTCAGCCAATATTGAAGTAGACACTCACTGGACTTAAGCCTGTCAACCACATATTTAATTGGGAAGGTGGGGTGTTAGCTTCCTGGGACTGTAACCCCCTAAAAATGTCAAGTGGTTGGTAGAAATCTGAGTTCATGGGCCCGGCGCGGTGGCGCAAGTGGTTAAAGGTCCTCGCCTTGCACGCCCGGGATCCCATATGGGCGCCGGTTCTAATCCCAGCAGCCCCGCTTCCCTTCCAGCTCCCTGCCTGTGGCCTGGGAAAGCAGTCGAGGACGGCCCAAGGCTCCTGGCTTCGAATCAGCATAGTATCGACCCGTTGCGCTCAATTGGGGAGTGAATCATCGGACGGAAGATCTTCCTCTCTGTCTCTCCTCTCTGTATATCTGCCTTTCCAATAAAAAAAATAATAATAATAAAAATAAATCTTTAAAAAAAAAAGAAATCTGAGTTCAGGATAGAGAATGAATGATAGCATAGTGACAAACACCATCTGCCTGGAAGACAAAGCATTGTTGAATAGGGTTGCCCATTTTGTAAACTAAACAATGTTACTTGTCAAGGGAGAAGCTAGAGACCAGAATTCAGCCAGTGCTCAGCCCTCAGGATTCCATTAACCTGGAGGTCAAGGCTACCCACGTGCTGGTGACTGTGAGTGCAGCTAGGGCCAGGGTTGATCACTCTGCCCGTGGACAGGACTTGGGAAAGTGTCTCAGGAGAGAAGACAGGGCAGGCCGTAGCATCAGACTCTGTGAACCTGTGCCAGGGGCCAAGGTCTGCCTTTTGTGGATGCAAAATAAATACTTGCTGAATGAAAAGAGGGTTGTATGTGAATTCTCAGAGTACTGCTGGCTCAGACCTTTCTGGAACCTGGGGAGTGTCTGGTTTTCCTCCACATGCTGCTCTGCTTGCCACCTGCCCGAGTCGCACAAAGTCCTGGAGCAGGTTCATTTTGATGATGAGACAGGCTCTCTCTTGTTCTACAGAAACTGGGTTCTGAATGATTCCCTCTCAGCCCGTGAAAGCTGAGAAGTCTCCAGATGGAAAGTGGAAACTCTGCAGGTGAACAGCAGATGGCATTTAGGGGCTATACCCCTGTGGCTGAGGCTGATGTGACTTGGGACAATGTGGTCACCAATGGAGGCAGGTGTTTTTTCATCCACCTCTGGTTGAAGGTTAGAATGTCTGAGCTTGGAAGGGCCCCTGCGATCATCCAGACCAAAATTCATTTCACAGATGATCTCACTGAGGACAGTTAGTGGTAAAAATACCCCTCTTCCCATGTCCCCTGACTTCAGCCACAAAGAGTTAGAAAACAGCAGCTAGCCACGTGGTGGCTGCGAGTGCTGAATCTGTTCATCTACATGAGGCACTTCCGGCGGCATCCCACCTGGGAAAGTTACTCTGAAACACGAGGAGTTAAAATCACAGGACCTGGCACCAGTGAGAGGCTTGATACACAGGAACGGTGACAAGGTCTTTATGTTGCTTTCTAGGCACAGAATGAGAGGAAGCCCTGTTTCCTGAGTGCAGGGCAGAGTGGTCCCCTTAGCACTTAGGACACATGATTCGGGGACACAGCCCCTTGGTCACCCTGCAGCCGAGGTTAGGCAGGCCGAGGCTGGAGGTCAGTGTGGTTACTAGAAGGCACATGAGCCAGCAAGAGCAGATACAGACCCGAGTGTGACTCCGCCCCCCACTTAAACAGTGAGAAGGGAGAATATGGAGTGACTGGTGATCTTGGCGCTTCTGTTGGAAGATGAGCGTTCTGGAGGGCGATGGTGGTGACATTTGCATACCACCACCGGTGTGCTTCAAGCAGCGGAACAGGACACCCAAAATGCCAAAAAATGACCGATTTTATGCCACACATATTTTGCCACTGATTTTGAAAGAAAACAAACTATGAGCAACAGGATAGTACTGCTTTAGCCACTGCCTTTCTGGCTGGGCTCCGCTGAGCTGACCGTGCTCCAGCTGCAATCTGGAACTGCAGGCTAGCCAATGCTACTTTCTCAACCTCAACTTCTAGAAAAGGTGCCAAGACCTAGCAAGGGATGGTGACTCACCTGTTGCCTCCCCGACAGTCACTGCTGCAAGGAAGCCATGACAGCCACCAGAACAGGTATCAATCTGGGGCCAGCTAGTCTGACTGCAGTCTTTACCGCATGGCTATCACCAGTCATTCAGTCCCAGAAGAACTACTAGGTAGCAATTCACCGTGTAACTGCTCCATCATTGCTAACACTTGCTTAGGAAGGCGTCGGTGTGGCCAGCTGTTGCCCAGTACTGTGGAGGGACAGTGCTGGGCAACTTTGAGCCAAGAAGAGGGATGTCTTGGTGCCAGTCAGAAAGTGGCAGCATCAAGTCAGCTCTGAGCAATCCTAAAGATGCCCAGATCCCAGGAACATACATTTGGAAGGTCTTGACTGAATGATACAGTCTGCGGTTGGCTGAACGCGTCCCCTGAGGTATGTAGAGCAGAGTCCATCTATGGGAAAGGAACTGCCCTTGGAAGCCCCCATGGCAACCAGAGGCCTTAACAGGGCACTGCTGTTCTCAAGGGACTAGGAGAGCAGCCCCAGCTGCAACTTGGTGTGCATGCCCTATTTGGGATCCTGGCCCTCCTTGCTGTTTCCTGATTAACAATTCCATAGTAGCCTAGCAAGGTTTAAGAACAAGGTCCTTTGGGCATGATGCGGTAGCCTAGTAGCTAAAATCCTCGCTTAGCATGTACTGGGATCCATTTTGGGCTCTGGTTTGTGTCCAGGCAGCCTACCTTCTATCCAGCTCCCTGCTTGTGGCCTGGGAAAGCAATCAAGGATGGCCCAGGGCCTTAGGACCCTGCTCCCATGTGGGAGACCTGGAGAAGGCTTTTGCCTTTAGATTAGCTCAGCTTCAGCCATTGTGGCCACTTGGGGAGTGAATCAGCGGATGCAGGAGTTTTCTGTTTCTCCTCTCTATAAATCTGACTTTCCAATAATAAATAAATAAATAAATAAACAAATAAATAAATAAAATAATATTAGAAAAGAAAAAGAACAAGGCCTTTGAATGTTGTCTAGTGTTCTAGTAAATTTAACCTGTCTGTATCTTATGCAGGGGACCCTCCCAGATACTCCACATGCGTTATGTGGCCAGGTTATTCTGTTTCCCTGGTTCTCTGTTCCCCCTGAGGACCTCTTGTTTTATTGTCCCCTCGTCTAGATCAATTCTGCTTTGACTTTGAGGTTGCTTTGTTGAGGTTGGAGCGAAGCTTAAGAGCGAAATTGCAGTGTGTTAGAGTGTGAGGGGCAAATTTGTTTTTCCCTACATGGGATACAACACTGTGAAATTCAATCTTAAGCTGAAAGCCCTGCAATTCCCCTAAAACATAGTCTCGTGTTTGTTTAACAAAGCTCAAGCTAGTATTAATAAATTGAAAAGAAAACAGAAAAACAAGGCCTTGCCAGTTGGACAGACCCAGTGTCGGCCAGAAGGTGGCAGCATATAGTTAGTTCTGCTCCTCAGGTGCCCTGAGTCAGGTGCTAAGGCACAGAAACACATCTTCCTGGTCAACAAAAGGCACGGCACAAGGGCATTATGGGGAAAAGATGGAATACTTGCTCTAGAAGTAGGAAGGGCATGGCTGACAACTGCTACATGCCTAGAAGGACTGTCCATAATGAATGACCATTGTATATTCTGTTTCCACATGAGGTGTCCCTGGGAAGGTCCTTGACCCACACAGGTTTACAGGACCCTGGCTGGGCATTGCACATTTATCCCCTAGGTCAATTCATTAGCTGCAATGGTCTTGCACCTCCTTAAACAAGGGGTCAGAGTACCTTTGGCTTGCTAGCTACATCCAGGACTCAGGAAGTCCTTGGAGGAATCCTACTCTTTCCTCATCTCCCTCCTTCCCCCTCTCCCTCCCTCCCCTCCCTCCCTCCTTCCTTCCTTCCTTCCATTGGATCCTCATCTTTCCCTCCATCTTTTCCTTCTCCCTCCCTTTTTCCACCTCCCTCCTCCTGCTCCGGCTTCTGACACCAGCAGCAGTAGAAGCCTACCGTAAAGGTCTCAGTGTGACGCGGCTGGCTGGCTGGCTGGTGCTTGGCCTGGAGCAGACGGGGACTGAATGGCTTTATACCCCAAGGAAAGACCCTCAGTCATGTGACCCCCTTCCCCTCCTCCCCTGAGGCAGTCTTTCATGAGTGTTGGCAGGTGGGCTGCCTCAGAGGGGAGGAGGGCATCTCTGCACACAGCTGGGAACAGGTGAAGCCTTCCTAGGAGGCCCTCGGTGTGGCCTCCAAGGAGACCCAGGCTCTAATTAGAGCACAATGACTCTCCTGTTCCACAGCAAACTCCCCTCACGGGCTGGGAGGCCC